AAAGTGCTGGGATGACAGACGTGAGCCACCGCACCCGGCCAATCACTCGTTTTGAATATGGATTTGTCTTCCTTGCCCACAACGCTTCCTCCAGAACCCCCATCCGTGGGCGTATGGGACCTTACAGGTCATTACTGTGCTCCCCGCGCGTTGCTGCTGATCAAGAAACTTAGTTTTCCACAAATGCGATGGACCCATAGGTTTGTACCCACTGAATTCTCTGTCTTGCCAAGTTCCCCATCATCCTAAGCAAGGAACAATTTTTGGACACATCGCCGCCTTTCCATGGCAGGCGATGACACGTTGTGGGACTACAGGATGAAGTGTAGGCTCTGAACCATCAAGCCCTGAGCCCACCGGCACAGAGGGGATCACAGCACCGGCTGAGGTGGCTGGCCCTGACTCCAGGAGAAAGTGGGTTGCTATGATGCAATGGGAGACCCGTGCCTAGAATCCAGGAGATTCTCTGACGCATCCTTTAGCACTCCGGTGTCCCATGGTAAAAATTCATAAGAAACTACAGCAATGCAAAAGAGGCAGCCCCACCCAGGGCACAGATCCTTCGAGAATGAAGGCCTACATCCTGGTTAGTAGTAACCCCATCTCTACTAAAAATACAAAAAATTAGCCGGGCGTGGTGGCACATGCCTGTAGTCCCAGCTACTCGGGAGGCTGAGGCAGGAGAATCGCTTGAACCAGGGAGGCGGAGGTTACAGTGAGCTGAGATTGCCCCACTGCACTCCAGCCAGGGTGACAGAGCCAGACTCCGTCTCAAAAACAACAACAACAACAACAACAACAACAAAAAAGAAGGCCTGGATCACCTCACCAGGCCAAGAACAGTGACAAGCTGAGATGGCAGGAGGGCAAAGGCAATGTGGAACGTGCCGGGGAAAGGAGGCCTTATCTGCCCAGCTGGAGTCACAGGAACAAGGCTCGCGGCGGTTACGTGTGCTTTCATCCCTGCTTTGGTGTGAATACATGGTACATATTACTGAGTTCTTTTTCCTTCCCTCTTCCCATTCCTAGTCTATCTGATGTGTGTTCGTAGCTCTCAGCCCTATACCTAGCATTTAAGGTACAGAATGTGCAAGGCAGGTGTGGCTTAGGAAGGAGAGAGATGGACATGACCCAAATGTGGATAAAGGGACAAATGGGAACGGGTGCAGTGGCTCATGCCTGTAATCCCAGCACTTTGGGAGGCCGAGGCGGGTGTATCACTTGAGGTCAGGAGTTTCAGACCAGCCTGGCCAATATGGTGAAATCCCCTGTCTCTACTAAAAACACAAAATTAGCTGGGTTCGGTGGGCGCCTGTAATCCCAGCTCCACAGGAGACTGAGGCAGGAGAAACACTTGAACCCGGGAGGCGGAAGTTGCAGTGAGCTGAGATTGTGCCACTGCACTCCAGCCTGGGTGACAGAACTAGACTCCACCTAAAGAAAAAAATATATAAACGGTTAAAGATAAATTTTATATTATGCACGTTTTATCACAATTTAAAAAATGATCCTGGAATTAAATATTTTTTAAAAAGCAAAAGTGACTTGAAATATACACACCAACACACCTACACCCACCCCCCAGCCAGTGTCATCTGTTCAGCCATCCCATGGAACCAAGCCTTGGGGGAATTCCAGATTCAAGAGATGCATTCGAGGCCGAACAATAGGAAGTTTTGTCTGGAAGTAGCTGCTTCTGATAAAAAGTTTCGGAAACATGGTCTCCCCCAAACAGAAGACCCCAGATCTCTCAGACTTGAGAAAGCAAAGAGTTTTGTACCAGTTTTGTACCAGTCCCAGGGGAAACTGTGACGAAGTTGGATTGGATCTGAAGACATATTTGAGTTTGGTTTGCACAGGCGTACCACTGGCAGGCCCAGAGGAAAAGCCCGCACGTGACCTCAGTGTTCAGCGTGACTTCAACTCTGGTCTCCCTCTCTGGATGCCCCAGAGCAGGAGTGAGCTTCCCGCCAGGCCCCTGAGGGTCCGACAGTCATCCTGGCAGCTGTTCTCAGGCTGTCTCTGGCCGCCCAAGCCACCCTCGCTGAGGACCGACCTAGGGTTTGCAGGTGTCTGTTGCCACAATAATCCACAAAGAAGGCAAGGGCAGTGGTGAGCTGAAGACAAGACCCCTCAAAGCAAGGTGGGAGGGAATTCTCACAATTCTTTCTCTTCCCTGTAATGTTTCTTGGGGTCACCCCCCAAATAAACTCCTTGCACCTCTCCACTAAAAGATTAAGTCTTCTTAAAAGAGCATCCACATGGCAAACTGACAATTGCGTGAGCGGCCACCTCCTTCTCCTTCTCCTTCAGGTCTCAGTGCAAGCATCATCTCTGTAGAGGAGCCTCCAGCCCCACCCCAGCTAATCAGGCCTGGCCATCCCCCTGGATTAGTTTCTTGTGGCTGCTATGACAAATGACACACACTTAGTGGCTTAAACAACACAAGTAACTCTAGTAAGAGTTCCAGAAATCAGAGGCCTAAAGTCAAGGTGTTGACTTTAGGTGTTGGCAGGGCTGGTTCTTTCTGGAGGCTCTAGGGAACAGCTTGTTCCCTTGTCCTCTCTAGTTTCTAGAGGTAGCCTGCATTCTTTGCCTGGTGGTCCCTTCCTCACATCAACACATGGCCCATTACTCATTCTGATCTCCTGTCTCCTTCTTACAAGGACCCTTGTGATGACATGGGGCCCACATGGATAATCCACGATGATGCTCTCATCTCAAGACCCTTCATCCCATTTGCAAAGTCCCTTTGGCCAGGGTAAAGTCACATGTTCTCAGGATCTGGAGATTAGGACATCAACATCTTTAGGGGCCACTATTCAGCCCACCTCCCATTCCTCCCTGCCTACCACCTAAGTTTTTGCCACTAAGCCTGTTTGGTTTTCTCAATGCACTAATCACAGGTTGGAGTTCTTGTGTTCAGTTGTTTCTATTTATCACCTGCTCCCCATGCCCTGTGTCTGGTTCTTCCACAATTCTTTTCCTAGCACCAACATTGCTGGTGTTCAGTAAAAATGTGTTGAATTAAGGTAAGAATGAATGGATGGGTGGATGGGTGAGTGGGTGGGTGGAAGGCTAGATGGATGAATGGATGGATTGATAGATACATGGATGGATTGATGATAGATAAATGGATGGATTGATGAGTGGATTGATGGGTGGATAGATGGATGGTTTGCTGGGTGATGGAGATGGTGCGAGGATTGATGGCCTGTGGATTGGATGGATGGATGGATGGATGCATGGATGGATGCATGGATGGATGGATAGATGGATAGATGGATGGATGGATGGATGGATGGATGGATGGATGGATGGATGGATGGTCTGGTGGATGGATGGATGGATGGATGGTCTGGTGGATGGATGGATGGATGGATGGATGCATGGATGGATGAGTAGGTAGATGGGTAGTTGGGTGGGTAGATGAGTGGGTGGATAGATGGACAGATGGACAAATTAACAAATGAATGGCCTGCCATATGCAGGACAGAGGATAATGTGGACTTTTCCTGAGATTCCCAAGATGCACCTTCCAGCACAGAAAGGCCCAGCCTAGTGGAGGAGGGGAGCAGAGCGGAAGGAGAGGGATCCCTTTCACTATTAGGAAAGACAGCTAGGCCTTGGTTCAACCTTTATTTTTTAGACAGAGTCTTGCTCTGTCACCCAGGCTGGAGTGCTGTAGTGGCGAGATCTCGGCTCACTGCAACCTCTACCTCCTAGGTTCAAGTGATTCTTATGCCTCAGTCTCCCAAGTAGCTGGGACTACAGGTGTGTGCAACCATGCCCGGCTCATTTTTTGTATTTTTAGTATAAAAGGGGTTTCACGATGTTGGCCAGGCTGGTCTTGAACTCCTGAATTCAGTCAATCCACCCGCCTCAGCCTCCCAAAGTGCTAGGCTTACAGGTGTGAGCCACCACGCCAGCCGAATGGCCCTGCACACCTTCTTTATCACAGGTGCGTCTGACTGTGTTTCCTTTGACCTGGTCTGCCTCTCTGTTGGACATCAGCTCCCGGAGGGCAGGGACCTCGCCTATCCTGCTCATCAGTGCGGACCACAGTGCCTGGCACCCAGCAGTGCTCAGGAAATACCTGCAATCTTTACTGAGGATGGTGCTGGCTGCAGAGGGCCGCAAGGACTGGTTCACACCCGCCCCCTTGTCCAGGGAGCAGCAGAGCAACCGTAGGCAACAGAAGCACCTGGCAGGGAGACATCTCTGCGGTCTCCTTCCCCCAAGAACCTCCCCAACAGAGGAGGGTCCAGGCCTGCAACCTCAGGAGGGGACACGGGGAGAGGCGTAGGACCATGAGGCCCTTGGCAGAGGATGATTAAAAACAACGTTCTACTGGGAGGGCAGGGGAGGACTCCTGACGGCAAGTGGTGGCTGTTCAGAAAGTGAAGGCTGGACGAGCAGGGGCCATACCCCATTCTCAGCGTCAGCCAGAGCCCTGAGCCTCGCTGGGAGGGAATGGCACCAGCAGGACGCCTGGAGCAGGGAGCAGCGTTGCTGAGGTGCACGAAGAGCTCTTCCTCCGGGCGTCCGATCCCTCCTTGCTGTAACCCTGTGGGTCATTACCATTTCCCATCTGACAGCTGAGGAAACCAAGGTCCCCGGTGGAAAGAAAACTGTCCAAGGTCACCCAAGCCTGGAGGCAGCACGGGAACTCCTTGCACTGGACCTCTGGGTACCCCCACACACACCCCACCACTCCCCCGGAGGGCGGGGAGAGACCCCCAGGGTGGCTGCTGCAGACTGCACGTTTGTGGCCCCACCCCCTGCCCCTGCCCCTGGCCCGCTGCCCCACTGCCCTGAATTCATATGTTGACATCTAATCTCCGGTGTGAGGTGGGGCGTTTGGGAGAAGAGCAGGTTATGAGGGTGGGGCCTCATAATGGCATTAATGCCCCACTAAAAGAGGCCCCATCGAGCTTCCTCGCCTGCCTGAAAGGGGTCACCACATGGGGACGCAGTGAGAGGCTGGGTCCTCACCAGACGCTGAATCTGTGGGTGCCTTGATCTTGGTCTTCCAGCCCCCGCAGCCGTGGGAAGAAACGCCTGCACCGATAAGCCCCCAGTCTGCGGTACTGCGTCAGAGCAGCCGGACACACCAAGGCCACAGTAAGGGGACTCCACAAACCCAGGCCAGGACGACCTTCCCGTTTACAAGCGCCTCTCGCTTATTTTGAGAGAAACAAATTTCCATACCAAATAAGGTGGTGGACTTAAGAGCCTCTGCCCACTTCACACAATTCCTTTTAAGTGTCCAAATGCAATTACACTTGGAACTCGCCGGGATTCAGCCTCCCCCGGCCTCCCCATGTAAACAAGCGTTCCAGCTGGGCCCCAGCTGGCTGCCCTGGAGAAGAGGGGACGGGTCACCACCCTGCCTGCTGCCTCCAGCCTCTCTCTCAGCCTCAGGCATGGCCCGTGAGCCTCCAGGATCCCAGAGTCCCTCCTCAGCCCATCCCTGAAAAACAGACCCCAGGAGGCCAGCTGGGTCATGCGGGGAGCAGCGCGAGACTCCCTCTTCCACGGTGAGGTTTGCACGTGGGCAGGACGAGCAGGAGGCGGGCAGCTCCCAGCGCAGGTGCAGAGGCAGCTGTGTTTCTCGTTTCCCTTCAAGAAGCCCACAGAGGCACACCTCTCCCAGTCTGGGCACTACGCTCCTGCTGGGAAAGCTCAGAATTCCCTTGGGCTTCCTGGACTCTGAGAAAGTTGGCCCAGGGCAGGAGGGGAGCCCTCTCATCACCCCCTCCTCCTGGCCACCCTGCTGGCTCCTGCACCCCCCACTTTGCACCCCCACCCCTACCAATGCTCAGTGCCCCAGGCATGAATGCGTTCCAGGACTCCCCCCTCCAGGGGCTCAATGGGGAAGGGGGCCTGACTCATCCTCCTGCAGAGCAGCACAGGCACCAGGCACCACAGCCCGCCAATTTCCAGCTTGCTCGCCGAGCGCCGTGATTTTCCACTTGCGCCATCTGATTGCTATTAGGGCTGGGGAAAAGGGAATTCCTGGTTCCATAAGCCCCCAGGGGGCCCACGCCGAGTCCCGGGTGGGAAGGGGGAGGGGTGCCGCTTGGGCGGTGCTGCCCACCTCTGCCAATTCTGCGCTGCCCCTCCATGGAGCCCTCGCCCTGCTGCCCCCCCCACCGCTCTGTATCAGCCCTGAGTAAATTAAAACAATGGGGTGGGGCCTAGCCCCTCCTGGGCCAGCCTGCCCCGAAATGCCCACTGGGGGCGGACCAAAGGCGCCAGGCAAGTGTACAGCTGGTGCTCCCTCTCCTGGGCAGCCTTACCGAGCAGCAGAATGCGAGGGAGATGAACAGCTGGACTCGGGCAGCAGTGCTCGGGCCAACGTGACGTCACCAGGCGGAGAGATGAGTTCCCGGTGGGGCTCTGGGGGGGCTCCTGAGCGGGGCATTCCTTCCTGAAGCCTCATCCCTGCTCAGCCCCTCCTCCTACTCCCCTCCCCTCCCCCTCCTGCCGGGCCAGGAATTGGGTTTGGGGCGGGTTCTGCTTCCAAAGCCATCTCTTCCAGCAGGCGAGGGCTCTACTCTGAGCTCGCATTTTCCGAGGCTCCGGCCGTGCTCGGCGCTGGCCTGCTGCCCCGGCGGGTCGGTCGGCCGGAGGCGGGAGCCACAGGAAGAGCCCTCCACAAAAGGAGGCCTCTGCGGACCAGGACAGCTGCAGGTAGCTCCAGGGGCCCAGGGTCCAGGGGAGGGTGTTCCAGCAACCGGGGCTGCAGGGTGAGGGCCAGGCAGGGAAGGAAAATGACGCGGGCACCGTCGGGGCAGAGAGGTGGACGCTGTCAGGGCAGGCAGCTCCCAGAAATCCTAAGGCCCCAAGCAGAGAGCCCTGAGACCCCAGAGAGGCTGTCACCCACTGGAGAAGCTCCCCTGCAACTCCTGAGGCTCCAGGGTTCCTGGGCCATGGAGGAACTTGAAAAGTCTCCCTCCTGTGGCAGGACCTGACCCCTCCCAGCTGGCCTCACCCCCAGCCCCACTGTCCAGCTCCTGCTCTGTGCTGCTGGGGCTGAGGACTCCCTCTTGGTCCCTCCCCCAACCTCACTGGCCATTCAAGCATGCATTCGAGAGGGGCTGGAAGGGAACACCCAGCAGGCAGTGTCCCACACACAGGGAGATGGCTCCCCCTGCTCTCAGCCCTGGGGTGCACATGGGGGGTTCGTGTGGGCAGCCACAGGGTGTTGGAGCTGCAGTCCCACCTTCTCCCAGGCCAGCGGCCTGATGAAGCTGTTGGCCTTGGATGGAGGCAGTTTCTGGAATGATCTGCAAGGTCTCAGTCCCCCCAGACAAGCCTCTTCAATCCAAGCTGTGAAGCAGAGCACTCCAGGCCTGGAGTGAGGAAAACAGAGGCTCTGTGCCTCGGGAGCGGGAGCGAGACAGGCCCCTCTGACGGCAGCCCAAGCGGCTAAGGAAAGGGGCTGGGACAGCCCCAGGCACGTCGGGGCTGGGTCATGGTGGGGTAGGGGTGAAGGGACAGGAGGAGCTTCCTGCGGGCAAGGCTGCAGGAGGCTGACAGGCGGCCAGGCCACCCTTGGGCTTGCTCCGAGGGGTGGGTCAGGTGTGAGCTGCGCTGGCAGCTTTTTTAAGTCAGCTTCAGTAGACACTAGTTCTGTCATAGCCCAGATCCCACCCAGAGGAACACACGTACACATGCACTCACACGCTCGCCCCATACACGTGTCACACACATGTCCTTTAATATGGCCCATCTGGGGTCCACTGGCTTCTAGATCTTTCTGTGCATGAGTGAAATTGCTTTTCAGGTTGTCCCTGGCAGGACAAGGACAAACGCACAGGACACCCACATAATGGAGGGAAGCAGATGGTAGAGAGGGGAGCTGGGGGCCCCCACTGCATGCCCAGCTGCAGCGTGGGGGGGCCCCAGCCCACTGCCTTTGGGGCACTAGTTGGCTGTGGCTGGGGTCTAGCCTGGCCGGGGTGAATGGATGAGGCTCCTGTGAGTCAGGACATCCCTGGAAACAAGGCTGGGGGCCCAGACCTGGGGTGGTGGGTGTCCAGAAGGGCCACCAAAAAGAGTAAGGGCAATGGAGAGGGCTTGGGGGGCTCTTACCAGGCGCCCGGAAGGATGAGGGCAGGTGGTAGGTCTGGGGTTGCAGGGCAGGAAAGTTCGGACAGGCCCCAGAGTGTGGAGAAGGTACGGCCTGTCTGTGGCAATGGCACAGTGGCCCAACTGGAGTCCAAGGAGGGAGACTAAAGACACACAGGTCACAGCACCAGCTATCTGCAAGCCCAATGCACACGCATCACAACGCACTGGCTCACTCCGGCACATGGGGCACCCCGAAGACCCCAGGCTGAGTCACCCGTAGGCCAGGCACAGGTGCCCGCAAACGCCCCTTGAAGGCCCAGAGCGGCGCGGTCCGGCTGCGCGGGGCCGAGGGGACCCAGGCCACTGGGTGGGACGGGTCCTGCGAGCGGCCCCTGGGGCTGCACTTGCGCCACCAGCTCCGGGAGGCCAAGGGTTAAAGAGGGGGCGGGCCACACGCGCAGACGGCCACCTCTTCCAGCCAATGGTGGGCGCGGAGGCAAGGGGCACGGCCCGCCCCCAGGCGGGAGGAGTGGGCGGCGGGCGGGGGCGCGTGGCTGGCTGAGGCCGGGCGGACCCGCGCGGCACAGAGAAAAGAATTTCCGGGGAGTTGAGCCGAGCGGGCTGCCTAGCTCTCCCCTTGGGAGAGGAGGGGCCCGGCAGCCTGCGACCCGAGCTGTGCCCAGCAAGTCCCTTCTCCGCTCACAGCCTCAGTTTCCCCCCCAGTACAGCAGGGAGTAATAGATGCTTCTCTGCGGGGAAGGGGGACAGGGCTCTACGGAGAGAAGCTTCCTCCAAGGGGGAAGCTCAGGTTGGGGGACAGGGATCAATTCCAGAGGACCCAAGGCAGGCAGACCCATGAGATCTGGCCGGCCAAGGTGGACCGGCCTCCAGCAGGGTCGCCCCCCTCCCTAGGCCTCCATTGGCAACCCTAGGGTGGGTGCAGCTTCCCCTCCTTAGGCCAGCAGCCCCTCCCTACGGCAACTGCTCGAGACACAAATCTGCAAAGCTGCAGGGCATGGCATGGCTCTGGGTGTGCCTTTGGGCAGGTGACTTCACCTTCTAAGCTCAGGAGCGCCCATCAAAGGGGCGTGAGGATACCTGGCCCCTAGCTGGTCATGAGGACCAAACCAGATGATGGGTGTAGGCCGGCTGGCAGGGTAAGTGGTGGTGACAGTGATGCTGATGACCGGGCTGTCTTGCCTCCCAGGCACTGTAGGGGAAGGGCCAGGTGCCTTAGCATGTTACAAACACCGGCTCAGCCAGAGCCCTCCTCCTCCAGCAGGTCCCCCCTGCCAGAAATGATCCCTCTTCCCTCTTCCCCTGCTCCTCCTTCTGGGACCGACTGCTGGGAAACCCCTGTCCCACACCAGGCAGGGCACAAAGGAAGTGCCCCAAAAATGTGTGTGGGTAAATACATGTATGTCTCCAAACGCAGCCTGGCCCCAGAACTCCCACAAGTAGAGGGAAAGGAGAGGGTTGCTTTTCCGGTGAGCTGCAGTGGGGCTGACGCGGAGTCCACAGGCAGGAGGGGGCCGTGCCGCAGGGGTGACCTCCAGAATCTCACCAGGACAGTCCCACAACGCCCCTGCCTCTGAGGGAGTGGGGTGACTGCCTTTCCTCTAAGGTGACAGCTGAGAACCGCAGGCCTTGGGGGCCTAGGCATGGGGGTCCAGGGAGGGGAGGGGTCCCTGCTGCCCTCATCCACCCTCTCTCTGGGCTTCCACCAGGTGAGTGTGCAGACCGGTGAGCTGCCAGCAGGGACCCAGACGCGTCAGGCCTGGAGATGGCTGGAAACTGCTCCTGGGAGGCCCATCCCGGCAACAGGGACAAGGCAAGTGCCACAGGTGAAGGGCCCCGGTCCTGCCCAGACGGGTGTGGGTGGGAGAGACAGACCCAGCCCAGCAGCTCCTCCCCTATCCCCCAGTTCCTGGCCCCACTCTCCAGCTCTGGACCCACAGTGGGCAGTGGGCTCCTCTGGGCTATGTGGCTGGGCACCAGTTCCCTGGACCCTCCTACCCTCCTGTCCTCATCAGTGAAGCAAGCACCAGGACTGGACACCCTCAAGGTCCCTCGCTGTGCTGACCCTGGGGTCACCTTGTAGCATCCTTGCAAGGTCTTGTTTCATCTCTTCCCTGCAGAGGTGGGGCAGTCAGCTACTTACTACATCCAGGCGGGCCAGGAAGCCCTGGGACGCTGACTCCAAGGTAGCCCTGATGTCATGTGTTCCGTGGAGCCCTGTGGGTCCGAGGGCCACCCTGAGAGTGTTGCCCCAGGCCAGGGTCCATTAGTCATGAGTCACCCACCCTGAGACTCTGACAATCCCTCCAGGCTGACCCTCCTCCTACCCTCAGCCAGCCTAGTCCCCTACTTCTCTGAGTCCCTTGAAAAGTCTGGGATTTCCTTCGCTCTCAACTTGGAAGGATCTCTTGAATCCCTGTCCATCCTCTTCTGCATTTGAGGAAACTGAGGCTTATACCCAGGTAGTAACTTGACTGGGATTAGCCCCTAGGTCAGGAGCAGAGTGGGGACTCCAGCCCAGCCCCCGGGATCTCGGCCCCACACCCTTGGGCCCTCTCCCTCCTCCCCGTAGTGACCGCTGTGGAGTGGCGGCCGCAGGAGGCAGAGGTTGGACTGGTGGGTGGGGTGGGGCCGTCTGCAGAAACTCCCAGCGCAAAGGCAGAGCTCGGGGTGGGGCCCGGCTCCAGAGCAGGCATTTTACAAGGCGGTATGTGGCTGGTCACGGCAGCTACACGCCCAGTGACTCACCCGGCCTCCCCCTCTGACTCCGAGGAGGGGATTGCAGACTTTTTCCAGCATGCATGCATGCAAGAGGCACTGAGTAAGCTGACCGCCTCCATCCAGCCCCCTGAAGCCCAGCTCTTTCCCAGCGCCTCAGCTGGTCCTCTTGGGCCTGTTTGGGCACCAGATCCTATGGTCTAGTTCCCCAACCCAGAAGCGTGTCCAGGTCACCCACAGGAAAGAGAAGCTAAGGAGTGGGATTTGGGGCGAACAGACCGGCAGAGAGGTTGAGTCGATAAATGCATTTAAAGAATGGCAGGGAGGGAGCAGGGCCCCCTTACGGTGCTTGCCCTGACCTCGAAGAGTCTCCCCAGAGGTTTGCTAACGCCTCCAGTCCTGTTTTCAGGCTCCCCTTGACCTGAGCAGGCTGGGAGGTTCCTCCCTTTACAACAGGGTGTCCAACCCCGAGAACAGTCTCTCAGGACCCAGCTTTCTGCCGGAGCTGGGAGTCACCTGAAGGCGGCAGAATGGATCCTGCCTTCATAACCTTGTCTTTTGTTTTGTTAGGGAGCCCCGAGCAGTGGGAACAGAAGCCAGGCTTGTGGGGGAGACGCTGGATATGGGAAGGGGAGTGACCGTTCTCCAGGCAGGCAGCCTTTGCCTCTGGGAGGAGAGGTCGGAGGGGACCGCCTGAGAACAGCAGCCGGCCTGTAGAGAGATGGGCTGTTTGGCCCGCACAGCGTGTTTAAATGTTAACATTTAAAGATCGGGTATTTCACATTCCAGTCTAGAGTTCAGGCTTCTCTTCAGGGAGCGGGGGAGGACCATCAGCCACTCCAGCCCACCCAACCCCTGGCCCCCACTGGCTGGAGCACAGCAGGCCGCCCCCTTCACTCTCGAGAGGGGCTCTCGGGTTTGCCACTGTGCCCCCCTTATCTATTCCTTGCACCTGGCCCACCTGCATGCATTTATACAGAAGCCTAGACGCTGAGGGCAGGACGGATACTCCGCTGGGATGCACTCTTACAGTCACACCAACGGTTCAAGTATCGAAATGCTTCCCTGCAGCTTGATAAACAGCTGCTGCCTCTCCCCCACCCCAGGGACCCCCCGGACTTTCCCACAATCTGGAAACCCCAAGGGCAACCCTGGCTCATCAGGGAGCCACCTCTCATCCCACTAGAGGACAGGGTCCGGCTTCGGGGAAGGCCGAGGTCCACTTGTTTTTTTTTTTTTTTTTTTTCTTTAAATGTAACTTACAAGTGATTTTATTTCTTCAAATAGTTTCGTGTTTTTTGAAACCTTGCAAGATTTTGCAAGAATAGTACAATACCCACCAATACTTCACCTCAGCTCAGCCATCATTAAACCTTCACCGCAAGTGCTTTCTCTGTATCTCCTGACAGATAGACTTTTTCCCAGAATGATTTGAAAGTAAATTGCAAGACTGGGCCCAGTGGCTCACGCCTGCAATCCCAGCACTTTGGGAGGCCAAGGCAGGCAGATTACCTGAGGTCAAGAGATTGAGACCAGTCTGGCCAACATGATGAAACCCCGTGTCTACTAAAAATACAAAAATTAGCGGGGCATGGCGGCATGTGCCTGTAATCCCAGCTATCAGGAGCCTGAGGCAGGAGGGTTGCTTGAAGCTGGGAGGCGGAGGCTGCAGTGAGCCAAGATCGCGCCACTGCACTCCAGCCTGGGTGACAGAGCGAGACTCTGTCTCAAAAACAAACAAACAAACGAAAGGAAATTGCAGACACCAAGCCCTTGACGCCCAAATAGCCTGTATCCTTCTAAGACATGGATTCCTGCAGCCACATAGTGAAATGTGCGTTATCCATGGACAGTTGTCACATGTCAAAGAGCTGCAACAGGTGATTGCAAATGGCCACTCTTCTTGCACCGTCCATACTCAACATTTCCCCAGTGATCCCAACCATATCCTTTCCCGCAGTTGTTGAGATCCAGCGTATAATCCAGGATTCTGGATCTATTTCAGATCTTAGTCTCTGGGAAAAGGTCCTATCTGTCAAGAGATAGAGGAGAAATGCAGCTCTGTGGTGGAAGGGTTAACGGATGGACTGAACTGAGGTGAAGTACTGGTGGCGTGGACTATTTCTTGCAATCCAGGACTTCTATCACGTGTTGGTTTAGGAGTCATGTCTCTTTGATCTTCTTAAAAATGGAAAGGCTCAGGCTGGGGCGTGGTGGCTCCACCATAAACCCAGCACTTTGGACGGCCTGAGGCAGGGTGGATCTCCTGACGTCAAGAGGACGGAGACCAGCCTGGCCAACATGGTGGAAACCCCTGTCTCTCTGAAAATACGAACAATTAGCCGGACATGGTGGCATGCACCTGTGAGGTCCCAGGCTACTCAGAGCGGCTGAGCAGGAGAATCGCTTGAACCTTGTGAGGCAGAGGGTTGCAGTGGAGCCGGATTCCACGCCTCACTGCACTCCAAGCCTGGCGACGGAGAAGTGAGATCTCCTAAAAAAAAAAAAAAAAGAAAGGAAGGCTCTTGCCATTTTCTTCTTGTGTGACTTGTGATGGTTTTTTGGACGAGTCTACTCTGATCCGGTGGGCAGCCTGACCACCCTGTGGGCACTGTCTGGTGTTACCCCACTCCTATAGTAGCACCCATTCTGTGGCTGTAGCTCGAACTCTGGGACAGGAGGTTCACATGGGTGGGGTCGGATGTTTGAGAGAATAGAGTGGCAGCCGTTCACCTACTCCACAGCCACTGGCCCTACGGGACCCCCTCCCTGCCCAAGTCCCTAATCGGGAGACACCCGGGCCCACGTAGGTCCCTAGGTGCCAGATCTCGGCGGTGGGGACAGCTGGCATGCACACGGTGCTGTCCCCTCTGCCACTCTGTGCAGATGCTGCCTGGGCTACGAGCGAGGCCCCCGGGAACTTTGACAGCCCGGATCTTCCTGACCATCGAGCAGATCACGATGCTGCCGCCTCCGGCCGTCATGAACTACATCTTCCTGCTGCTCTGCCTGTGTGGCCTGGTGGGCAACGGGTTGGTCCTCTGGTTTTTCGGCTTCTCCATCAAGAGGAACCCCTTCTCCATCTACTTCCTGCACCTGGCCAGTGCCGACGTGGGCTACCTCTTCAGCAAGGCGGTGTTCTCCATCCTGAACACGGGGGGCTTCCTGGGCGCGTTTGCCGACTATATCCGCAGCGTGTGCCGAGTCCTGGGGCTGTGCATGTTCCTCACCGGCGTGAGCCTCCTGCCGGCCGTCAGCACAGAGCGCTGCGCGTCAGTCATCTTCCCCTCCTGGTACTGGCGTCGGCGGCCCAAGCGCCTGTCAGCTGTGGTGTGCGCCCTGCTGTGGGTCCTGTCCCTCCTGGTCACCTGCCTGCACAACTACTTCTGCGTGTTCCTGGGCCGCGGGGCCCCGGGCGCGGCCTGCAGGCACATGGACATCTTCCTGGGCATCCTCCTGTTCCTGCTCTGCTGCCCGCTCATGGTACTGCCCTGCCTGGCCCTCATCCTGCACGTGGAGTGCCGGGCCCGACGGCGCCAGCGCTCTGCCAAGCTCAACCATGTCATCCTGGCCATGGTCTCCGTCTTCCTGGTGTCCTCCATCTACTTAGGGATCGACTGGTTCCTCTTCTGGGTCTTCCAGATCCCGGCCCCCTTCCCCGAGTACGTCACCGACCTGTGCATCTGCATCAACAGCAGCGCCAAACCCGTCGTCTACTTCCTGGCCGGGAGGGACAAGTCGCAGCGGCTGTGGGAGCCGCTCAGGGTGGTCTTTCAGCGGGCCCTGCGGGACGGCGCTGAGCTGGGGGAGGCCGGGGGCAGCACGCCCAACACGGTCACCATGGAGATGCAGTGCCCCCCGGGGAACGCCTCCTGAGAGCCCAGCGCCTGGAGGAGACAGGGGCAGGAAGCAGCCTCCGGGACCCTTTGCCTTGGGACAGGGATGGGCACCTGCCTCTGAGTCCACAAAGGAGAAGAAACATGTGTTTCCTCTCCTCGGGCCTCCTTCTCCCTGGGCTGGGGACTCCATGGGTGGCCGGAAGACTGGACAGCCACCTGCAAACAGATGCTGTGGTCCCTGCCCGGCTCCCTCAGCCATTCTGCTCCCCTAGAGACCCGTTGTACAGAAGTTGCCCCTAGGTGGTGGGGGCCCCCCTTGCCCCAGGCTGCTCGGTAAATGTGAGGAGGTGGTCACCCAGCCCAGCCACCTCTGCCTCTTGGGTCAGCCCTCCTTGACCGTGTCCCAGCCAGCGCCAAGCCAGCAGCTCGTCCCTGCCATTCGGGATTGTTCCCGAGGTTCGATCCTCTCAAGGCAGCATCGGTGAACAAATCCGAAGGAAATGGTGTCTGGAAGAAGGTTCTGGTTCACATGCCTTGTAGCTAAGTCTTTCTGCAGACAACTTCCCTGCCCTCGGTCAAGTCATTTGGTGACTTTGATGGGGGGGATTTCTGGTCACGTCAAGGTGCTGGAGACAGGAAGAACCTTTGGCCGCCTTGGGTCGTTGACCTGCCTTTTCTGACTCTGGGGCGGGCCAGTCCTGGGCTGCCTCCGGGAGCGCTCAAGGTATCCCGCAGGCCATGAGGACCCACTGGGCAGCTCCTGGACAGCCTCTTGGCTCCAGCCCCCACCCGAAAGTGGACACTGGTTCCGCCCTGGCCACCTGGGGACTGGCACTATGGTGCACAGTGGCCCAATGTAGCCAAAGGAAGTTTTATAAAAGACAGTAAAATGTATATCAATAAACATTTCATAACTTGCAGCCAAGAAGGCTTCATGCCCATGGTCATACCCCAGGTCTCCGTTTCCCACAGTGAGGACGCCCAAGGAAGGGCACAGAGTCCCGGGACAGGCGACACCCCCTGCCAGCTCTCCCGCACACTGTGCTCTTTTCCTCTGCTCTCAGGCCTCCTCCTGGGGCTGGGGCTGCACACGCCCATGTTCCCGCTCCTGTGGCTTGTCCACTCCCTGCCAGAGGGAGCCGTGGTCAGCCAGGCTGTCCTCTGCCAGCGTATCCCATTGCCTCTTCTCAGCTCAGAGGCCCCCATGGCGTCTGGGAGCCTCCGCTCTCACCTCCTCCACACCAGGCCCTGATCCTGCCTGTGTCTACCGGAGGCTCCATGGAGTGGGTTGCTGCCTCTCCTCCTGTTGTCCCTGTTCGGGATGCCCCTGTCCGTCCTGGGATCCCTGAGCCAGCCTCCCAGTGCCCAGACACCTCTCTACAGCCCAGCGATAGGCTGGGCACCCTCCCAGATGACAGCCCAACCAGGGCCAGGCTAGAAGGTTACCTGTCTGGCCCTTTTGCCTCTGGTCAGCCCCCAGAAGGGCCCCGTCCTGGGTTCCTGGTGTGCAGCCTAGGACCTTGACTCCTTTGAGACAAGCCTTAAGGCAAGCCTGCTCACCCCATGGTCCCATGGAGAGAGATCATGGCAGAGGTATTGGCGCCCCCAGTCAGGAGACGTGGCTGACAGAGCTGGGCTCTGCAGGGCAGAGCAGAGCCGGGAGTGGGCAGGCAGGCAGCACTCTGAACTCCAAGCTCCAGGTGGGAATGGGTAGAGGCATGGGCACTACCGCCAGACTCAGCCACCCAACCGCCTGGAACCTGGCCTTTGATTGCAGACCCTGGAGCCTGCTCGGCCTGCCCCTGGTGAAGTGGTCCAGCCCTCAGCGGGCTGACTCCCCAAATCTATGGCCCTGATGGTTCACTGCCCAGCCAGCCTGACCTCCACTGCCCTCCTGCCCACTCAGCCCACTGCTCCTCCATGCTCCCCTTTCTAACAATCCTGGCCAGGTCCTCTCAGCAACGCCACCATTCTATGAAAAGAGGGGATCTCGTGTGGCCCAGTTGTAGTGGTTCCAGGACCTCTAGGTGATGAAGGTCGCATGTCCCCACCCGCTCCTTCCCAGTGCCCAGAAAGAGCCCTGCCATCCTCCAAGTCCTGCCCTCCCCAGCACTGCTCAGAGGATGCCAGAAGAGCGGAGCTGGAGACCACCACATCCAACAGGTCATTTCCAGGGACTCAGAGAAGCCAGGTGGGACCCTGAGCAGACACACCAGGAGGCAGGGCTGGGTCCTCGTCCAGTGGCGAAAGCTCCCACCAGCCCAGGCATCCTAGCTACACAAGTGGGCAGCAGCACGTCCCTGTCCTGAAGGTGGCTGGGGGGCCATCTGGGGTCCTGGCTCCTCCTCAGGGCCCAGAGCATCCCAGTTCCTGCAAATTCACCTCTTCTTTAGGAGTCCCCACCCCAGGACTCCAGCCCTGAGCCCTCGTGGGGAGCTGCTGACCTAGAAGGAAGGGGCCTCCCTGCCTGGGTGCAGCTGCAACAGCTCAGAGCCCAGGCCGGTGAGCAGGTGGACAGCCTCACCCAGTAGTAGGGCCTGGAGGTCAGGAACAGGCTGGGTCTGACTCTAGGAGGAGGCATCTGCCCTGATGGATCCTAAGGCGGGAGGGGCAGAGGTGAACCCCGGGAACTGGGCCTCCCCCAACCTCTGGCCCTTCTCAGGTGCAGGTCTTTGCAGTCTTGCTAGGGAACAAGCTTTCTTCCCCTCCATCCCCCCGCAAAGCCCCAGGAGGATTCCTGCACCTCCCTGGACCACCTCATTCTCTGTGCTAATGGAGGGAGACTGCACAGATGATTAGATGAGCGGGAACTGCCTGCTCTCCACCACTTGCCTCCTCCTTCCTTTGGTATTTAATTATTAAAGTGGACTTGGGAGGAGCCGGAGGCTGCGGGGGAGAGTTCCATCCCACAGCTCTGGGAAGAGGATCCACAGCAAGTCACAGAATGGAGAGTGGGGCGTGGGACCAGAGTGTCCGGGCTGCCCTGGGGTTGCAAAGCCGACTTCTAACAGCCATGTGGTATGTGGGAAGGGTGGGGTGAAGGGGCAGGGATGGGGGCACCAGGCAGGGCAGAACTCTCCACTTTTCCATGCTTCCTGCCACCCACTATCTCTATAAAAATAAGCTGCTCTTTTAGACGATGCAAGGGATAAGCAAGGCCAAATTTGGAAAGTCAAGAGCAAGTCTCAGGAGGGCAGAGGGCTGCCACCTATGAGCCATGGGACCTCAGTCTTGCTGTGCCTCAGTTTCCTTGGATAAGTCGGTTACAGCACCAACCTCCAGGAGCTGGTGCAGTGGCAGGGGGCGGCGGTCAGTATGCCTGATTGCCCTGGTGGGGCGTTCAGGGCAGGGAGCAGAGTGGCCAGTGCAGAAGGGATGTGCCTGTGAGTGGTTTGTTCCCAGCACCGATCCGCTGTTTGGGGACATACTATGGGCAGTGGCTGCTGGCCAAGAGCTGCACGTAGGTTTTCTGTTGACTGTCCATGCAGGGCTACACGGCCCATACTGTCAGCCTCAGCTGAGGAAGTGGGGACTCATGAATGGAGTTTCTCATCCAAGGTCAGTCGCACTGGTGGACGGCCCTGGCTGGAGGCCCACATCACCATCCAGGGACTCCCCACAGTGGCCTTCCTGTTGTCCTGGAGGCTCAGCTCTCTGACCTTCCATCTCCCGTCTGCAAAGCACTGGAAGTTGGGGTTCTGGGGAGATGCATGGAGTGGCCTGGACATGCCCATCACAGCCCTAGGATAACCCAGATGGGCCATCGAGACCTATCCACACTCTGTGGAGACCCATGGAGGAAACAGCTCAGTTTCAGGCTGTAGGTGTCTGAATCAAAGTGGGGACTGGGAACGAGGTGCTCAGGGGACACTCAGCAAACGGCCTGAATGCTGACACCTCTCCCGTCTCTGTCTCCCGTCTTCACAAAAGGAAACGGAACGCCTCTCCAGCATCCACCCAGCTCTCCCGGATCCCCTGCCAACTGTCGTTTTTCAGATCACTTGAATTTTATATTTTATGCCAGGATTTTTAAGCCCCCAGGATCTTTTCACATCCGCACAGCTTGACTCGGAATCCTCAGCCAGGACCATCCGTCCTCGGCAGGACTCAGGGCCTCATCTAGAAGGCAGGGCAGGGAAATGAGGGTCCATCTATGGTCCAGCCCCTCAGCATACAGGGAGATGACCAGTCCTGGGAAATGTGCCCTTCGACGGGCTGGTGGCAAGGTCAAAAAGCTGGGCAAACACATTGCAGAGAACCGTCCCAAACCAAAACCACTGAGAGCGCAAGTGCAAAAGCATTCCCTTTTAAGCCAGTAGGGGCTTGACAGTTGGAGAACTTGAAAACAACAGGGCACAGTTCACAAACTCAAAACTCATGGAAAACTCTGCGCGGGTGAGTCACGGTGCCAGCGCCAAGTTTCCTGGCATGGAAGAGGAGGCTCCCCCGCTCAGGCAGGTTTTTCTAAATGTCTTTTTAATTAATTGAATTCAGACCTAATTTACATAAAATAAAACTGACCCATTTAATATACAGTTTAATTATCTTGGACAAATGTTTATGTGCCCATGTCATCAGAATGTTTCCATCCCCGCCGCAGAAACGCTTCCATCATCCCCCCAAAGTTCCCTGGCACCACTGGGCCATCGGTCCAGCCTCAGGCACACCCCTGCCCCCCACCTGGGTGGACCATCCATCTCTGCTTTTCTGCCACTACAGATTGGTGTCCTAGGCAGACTTTTACAGTGTATCAGACAGGGTGCTGGGTGGAAAGTAACAGAAACTCCAGGTTAATCTAGCTTTGGCATGTGAGGTAGCTGGGAGGTATGTGTATATTTAAGGGAGTTTACTGACTCACATACCCAGAAAGTTCCAGAAGTGATTCTGGCTTCGGACACAGCTGGATCCAGGGCCACAAATGATGTTCGCTAGGCCACTTCTCCTTTCCCTGTTTTCATCCCTGCTTTGATCTGGGTTCCACTTATTCTCAATGGAAAAACTAAATGGCAGGTAAGCAGCAGTTCTCGGTTCATCTCCTACAAATTCTGCAATCCCAGCAGAAAGAGCACCCCCTTCCTGGGGATTCCAGCTGAAGTCCTGATATCAAGCACACTGGCCAGGCCAGGGGCACACACCCTCCTGGGAGCTGGAGGCAGGGATGGGGGACAGGGGGTGACAGTCGCCCCACCTAAGCTCAGTGGACTGAAAACGGGGAAGAGGTGCACCCGAGGTAAAACTGGCAGGCATGGCTGGGCGTGGTGGCTCACATCTATAATCCCAGTATTCTGGGAGGCCAAGGTGGGTGGATTACTCAAGGTCAGGAGTTCGAGACCAGCCTGGCCAATATGGCAAAACTCCATCTCTACTAAAAATACAAAAATTAGCCAGGCGTGGTGGCGGGCGCCTGTAATCACAGCTACTCGGGAGGCTGAGGCAGGAGAATCCCTTGAACCTGGGAGACGGAGGTTGCAGTGAGCTGAGATCACACCACTGCACTCCAGCCTGGGCGACAGAGTGAGACTCTGTCTAAATAAATAAATAAATAAATAAACTGGCAGGCAAACAGCAGATGTTGACCACGTTCCTCCCCTCAGTCCACCCTCTACGTGTCCACTTCTTTCCTACCTATGATTTTTAAATGCTCCCACCCAAAATCTGTGGCTGTGTGATTTCCAACATAAAATGCCTTCCTTCCCCGCAGAAGAGAGACGACCAAAGTCAACTGCAGGGCCTGCCTCCCCAGCTCCGAGCCCAGGCCCTGGGTGTTACTCACGCCACCCTCCGTCAGAGCCACAAACACCTCCTCTTTGAATGGTACTTGTAGTACTTTCTGTGGATGCTGTCACCAATTCACCAATACCACAGACTGGCGGGGGCACTGAAACAACAGAAGTTTACTTTCTCTCAGTCGTGGAGTCCCGAAAT